ATCTCCTGGGCTTGAGGAAAACAGCCAGGCCCAGCTAAAATGTCCCAGCATACATCCTTCTATACACCTTTTCAATTTCTACTCTGTCCTGTTCCAAGGTCACCACAGAGATCTTTTTGATGAGAAAAGCACTTTGGTAATACAGTGGGTATTGCTTTATGATCTCCCTCCCTTCTTCCAGGCAGATTATGAGAATGGATCAATGAACAGTTCCGAAGCCCTGATAATAAGACAAGTCCTAGTCTGAACTGGAAGAAGGGTGATTTTGTTTTGGTTTTTTTACTTCATTGCAGTGTCTCTTACCTTTTTTGTAAATTCACTTTCTATATCAGGAGTGGAGGAAATGGGAGGCCAGAGCAGGCTAGGTGCAATGCAGATAGCCAGATTAAATGCATTCATCTGGTTCTCTTCAGATCGCATTTTTATGCCATGCAGTACTCCAAAGATGTAACGTAAGAGGACAACATTAGCTCTGGGGAGCTGCTCTATTAACCTGAAAACATATACAAATATAATTCTTCAAATTAGTGACTGGACAAAATAAAACCATTTTCTGTAGATTTACACAAGTCAAGATAATGAAAATACAGAAACAGGGTAACATGGTCCACTAATTAAACCAGGGAGACTGTTAAATTGGTGTTCTTGCTCAGCTGTTTTCCCTCACTGTGACACATCACTGAATAGTTTTCTGGGAGGACAGAAAACAACCTAACACAAAATTAAAATTACACTCTGTCAAACTAATGAACCAAGTACAATGTATGACATGAAACTGTACTGCACCTAAGTAGCCTGATAATTCACTTAACCAAACAGTTCCCTTGTCTCTCCATGCCATCTAGTTGCCGTAAGTACATATGTATATAAGTACACATGAGGTCAGCTAGTGTACGAAGCTGTGTTTTCCACCACATAATAAACTTTGCCCACTTTCCACTGTCTATCACCTGCAAGGGTGGAGGCTTCCCTTGTCACTATGCTCCAGTATTTCATTCACAGTTCCACCTTGGCTTCAAAATGGTGACTGAAATTTTGAGATAAATGAGTGGGAATATATGAGGACCTGAATTCAGCTACTCTTTCCTCCAGGGCTGGGCAATTCCCTGCAGATGATTTTGGGTTTGGTATCAGGCAGAAACCCAGGTTTTGGACAGCGTATTTATAAATACTATAAATACTTTTTTTCATGAAAGGATATTTCATTTATCTACTGGTATTCACAAAAGGCAGGAAAGCAGGACAAAAGAGAGGCAGCAAATTGTCCTATAGCAATCGCTTAAGTATTTATGTAAGTTTGAATGCTCTGCCATATACAAATATGATTTTAGCATCTATTTAAAAAAAAACCAAAATCAATTGTAAGTTGTAAGTTGAATATTTGGAATTCCACATTCTAGGATATAAATTTATAGAAAAATAATACAGAGTATATAAGTAACTACCTTTGGATGCTTTTTATCTTCTCTTCATTATTTCCTTGATCCATCACAGAGACCCACTTATCACAGAGCTGGGATGACAAAATGCTGCCTGGGATATTGCGAAGAAAATCCTTATCAAGAGAAGAGAAGAATAAAACATGTGAACAGCTGTTCTGGAGCACGGGAGGGAGTAGGAATAAGATATGCAGATACAAGAGGATGTATCAATGGGACAGCACTAGTTGAAAAGCATCTTGTTCCACACAGCAACCAAACCCAGCAGAAAATCATCTGAGATAAACTGGATTATGCTTACAGTGAATATTTTTCTGTCTTTTCCTCACCCGATCCTGTCAAAATAGATGCTTAATCTGCTATGGCTGTACTAAAAATCCTACAGTGGGACCAGTTATTTTGATGCTGCATAATGTCTGTCTTTACTTATCACTTAACTCCATCTGTAGTTCCTGTTTCTTCTCCTTAGCTGACAAGCTCCAACACCACAAGACTATAAGCACCCCAAGGCACTCCTACCTTCCTTCCCCTAGTCAATCTCTTTTGGTAATGAAGTACTTACACTAGTCGCAGATAGTCTTGCTGCTCCTGTTTCCTACTACTGCAACCACTGGCAAGCAACCTGTGGCAACTTGGGAAGAAGCCCAAATCCTAGCTCCCCAAACAAACTAGAGTAAGGGAAGTGATGATGCACATGAATTGACACATTTGCTCTTATGTGATAACTCTTCACTATGATAAATACTAAGCAACTGCCCCACACCAGCACTTGGCATGGTGCAGCTGTCCTGCCCTGCATGCACATCCTAAATCACCAGTAGGAAAGTAATTATGTAAGTCTCACCCATGAAAACCTCTCACGTGGTAGCAAGAGAAATGGCTTTCTGCAATAAAAATGATCAACTGATGCAGTGCTTGCTTTGGAATGGAGCTTACAATTTCTTTTAAGCACAAACTACACCTAAACAGATGCACTGTACTAAAATGTGAAATCTGCTGATTCTCCTTGTAGCTGAAATTTACTGAAGGCCTGGGATGCTTTTTGCACAAGCAACATTGTTTTTAATGTATGTGTCTGTAAGAAAAGATAATCCATGGGAAAATTAATCCAAATATTTTGGGCAACACTATACACTCACTAGGGTTTGTAGTGTAGGGTATTACTGACGAGTAAGGAAACAGGTCTGCACACCTAACTTTCTAGTATTTCATTGACTTTAAGCCAAGATAAAGAGAGTAACAGGATCAGGTTGTAGTTGAGACCTCAGGAAAGCTGGCAGCAAAACAAGCTGGCTAGTCCTCTTCCCCATCCTAATTCAGTGGTAGCCTTCTTTGGAGATCCTCATAATTTTAATGTGCCAGCCCATTCTTCTTAATCCAGCCTACCACGTCCTCCTTGGGCCTGTCCCTGGGGAGAAGTTCTACTTCTCTGTGCCTGGGATCTGTGCTGCTCTCACCCAAAAACAGGGAAAGGAACATTCTTCACATACCTTAAACAAAGATGCTGTTACAAATATGGATTCACAGGTTAAGTCCACTTCAGCGCCTGAATCAAGCTTCTCCTTGAGCTCTTTGCAGGTTTTTGCACTTCCAGAGCGTCTGAAAATACCCTCAGTGGAAGGACCCTCTTGGTAAAGGAGGGAAAGCATGTCCTAAACAAAATTAAAAGGCAGAAAGGCTTTCTCAGAAATATATTTTATTGTCTAGTGCCACTAAAATGAAATTTTGCTACTTTTGCCAGAGACGAAAACCTGTGAGTCCTAAAAAAGCTCACAAATCAAACACAAGTCAAGGCTCACCCTCCAAGCCACGCCAAACTGCACAGCAAAGCTGTGGTCTGGGGCACCAATTTTGGAAACATCCCCTCAGAAATACTGTGCTGTCACTGCTGGGCACTAACCTCCTGCACGATCTTCCAGGACCTATGCAAGTTTTAGCCAAGTCATTGAAATATATAAACACTGTGGTACGGGAAAAGGCAAGTGGTCTACCTAATCCTAAACTCTGCATCTGAGAGTGGCCTCAGCCAGACACCCCTTTGCAGGAAGATATGAAACCCTCACTACTCATCAGTGTGTTCAATATTATCACCGATCAGAGACGAAGACTTATGTTCCATGCCTGATGTCTGAAAAAAAAAGAGATTTTATCTAAGCTGGGAAATGCCTTGTTTGTTAACAATCTATCTGCATTTCTACAGTAGATCAGAGTCATATTTTTATCCCCTTTGCTTCTTGTGATTGGTACCATACTCTGCCAAGTAGCTCAGAGAAATTAGCAGGACCATCTCTGGGGCAAGGTGGTCCTGCCAGGGAGGTTACCCAGAGAAGGCTAAAGCTTGGCTCATGGCTCCTCTGAAGCAAATGAAGCTAAAAAGAGTAAACAGGTAGGCAGTTCACTACAGGAGATATTTAAAAGGAAATGGAAAACAAGCAGATTCCTGCCTAGCTTGTAAAATAACAGGAGGGCCTGATTTCTTCTGCTAAATGAGAAGAAAAAGAGCAGAAAAGGAAATGCTGAAATCAGAGACCTCTCCTGAGGTAACATGTACATGATATTTTCCAGTTGCTTAATTCTCTGCAGTCTCCTGTGGGTCATCTCTCAGACATGCTGGCCACCTCTCCCCAGGCCTGCTCCAAGTGATGAGGAATTTGTCATGTTTGTGTCTTTCAAGGGGGAAACACATGCAGACAGCCTGGGATTACGTGCATGCACACGGTGGCCTGAGGTCCGAGTTATCATAAGGAATGGCAAGAAAATGGACACTGGGGGAGAGTCTGTCATCATTAAACTGAGTTACTGTATCATTAATGGCTAAGCAGTGGGTTTTGGTTCCTCTCCTAGTCTGGGATGTAAGGCAGGTCTTCCTGACACACAGCAATGCAAGTGAGTCTAATGGAAATTATTATTTCCACTTTTCTTCTTTAACACTTCTTTCTTGCTTTTGTAGAAGTTGAAAGCCAAGTATTCATGTAAGTGTAGACACTCTGGAGGAGCATCTTTCATGGCAGCAGGACTTGTGTCAGCATTTCCATTTTCTTTGCAGGGATTTAGAGCTCTGCTGTGAAAACAGGCTGAGTCCCACAGTACAGGATCTTACATCATGAACACTTTGAAAATACATTTTGTCTAAAATACCCACAAGACAAAACTGGGAATCCACTCTTAAAGTAGTAGACTCGGACAAAATTACATGAATTAAGCTAATGGTGTAAGACAATTCGGTATGGCAATGGCTATAAGAGAGCCCTTCAGCTGTGAAAGCAAGTTTGAAGCTCTGAAGCAGAGATATCAAACATGCCTGCAGCATTCATCTCTGTTATTTTCCTTCTCTGTCAGGTAAATCCTACACAGTCCCTCAGATGCAGGATTCCATTCTCCAGGGGTGCTGCATGAAATCAGAAGTAAGTTATATTTTGTGGCACAAACACAGTGTTTAAGATTCAAAGCCCAAAGTCTACCAAGCTGTGATTCTATGCTGTCCTGGTTTTGCTAGGATAGAGT